TGCATCCGGTGTGGCTTCCTCTACATCGGGGAAACCAAGCGGAGGCTCGGGGACCGCTTTGCAGAACACCTACGCTCGGTTCACAATAAACAACCGCACACCTCCCAGTCGCGAACCATTTCGATTCCCCCTTCCATTCCTCAGACGACATATCCATCCTGGGCCTCCTGCAGTGCCACAACAACGCCACCCGAAGGTTGCAGGAACAGCAACTCATATTCCGCTTGGGAACCCTGCAGCCCAATGGTATCAATGTGGATTTCACAAGCTTCAAAATCTTCCCTCCCCCTACCGCATCCCAAAACCAGTCCAGCTCGTCCCTGCCTCCCTAACCTGTTCTTCCTCCCACCTATCCCCTCCTCCCACCTCAAGCCGCACCTCCATCTCCTACCGACTAACCTCATCCCGCCCCCTTGACCTGTCCGTCCTCCCTGGACTGACCTATCCCCTCCCTAACGCCCCACCTACACACACCTTTACTGGCCCCATCCCTGCCTCTTCGACCTGTTTCCTCTCCACCTATCTTCTCCTCTATCCATCTTCTATCCGCCTCCCACTCTCTCCCTATTTATTTCAGAACCCCCTTCCCCTCCCCCTTTTCTGATGAAGGGTCTAGGCCCGAAACGTCAGTCTCTCTGCTCCTATGATGCTGCTTGGCCTGCTGTGTTCATCCAGCCCTGCACCTTGTTGTCTCCGATTCTCCAGCATCTGCAGTTCCTACTATCATGGATTTTGTTCTACTTCATAGGAAGTCCACTGTTTCTTGAAACTTATGTTCACATTCCAACACATGGTCAAGTTCATTTTTTAAATCCACTATCGTGTGGAAATAAAAGACAAAGCTCCAACAAAATGGAAACTTCCAACAACATACTTACAATGACGGGTTCCAATACTGTTGTGCGAAAGCTTCCTATTCGTATACTTCGGCACTTGAGGATAATACTTTCACAGCTATTTTCCACTTGCAAACTAAGAGCATCTGTGTGTGTCTGAGTAACTTCAAATTTTCTTTTTTTGCCCACTGTGTCATGATAAGAATTTCCAAACTGTAAAAGAGAGTAGAGACGAAGAGAGCTTTTAAATGCATATTAAAACCAAAATGTTGCGCAGAAAAGTATGGACTTTATGTATATCTGATTAGGTTAGGAAAAATTTACAAATGAGTTTCTCCAACATTCTGTTTGTTACAAATGAGATACTTTAAATATAAATCTTTGCAGAATCCGAAACTTAAAGAAGTTAATTATTAATTATTATTAATGCATTCTCATGCCTCATCTCTATCCCTCGGTTTACTTCAGCCAGTACATGGTATAGGAACTAAACTTCATGCAGCTATTACTATGGAAGGTAAATGCTTCTTATATAAACTGCTTTCTGGAGCAAACTAGAATTGCATCTTGGCACTATCCATGCTACTAGATTTATTGAATGTAAACAATTTTAGAATTCATATTTTAAATGGTTCTAATACCGACTTCAATCACAAAAACATAAAACTGCCTGATGGTAATTCATATTTTTCTGCTTCTTGAACATGGTGGGTGATGCAAAATGTGCAGAAACCAAATGGAAGTGGAATTCATATATTTGGTCAAGGTCAGTCAATGAAATAAATGAGCAGACGTGTTACTTGTTTTTTCAATGTTTCTTGTATACAAAGAGAACAGCCCTGATTTACAGAAATGCACATGCCCTAAAGTCTGAGAAAATACAAAACAGTTACATTGACCTTGTTTCACTATTCAGTCTCAACTACATTTACATTTACATGCCTAAATTCTGTACCCCGTATGCTCTCAGCCAACCAATGTTTTACTTTCTCAAATGGTAAAAGGTTGAACTATCCTAGCATCTTCTGGAAAACAAAATCCAAGTTTCCATTGGTCTTCATGTAAAGAGGGACCTTTCTACCTTTAAGGTTATGACCCCTCATTCTGGATACCCCATTAAAGAAATTGCTTCCATATAATTACTTCCGTTGACTCCTTTTAACATTTTAAAGCATTTTAAAAGATTATTCCCCAATTTTCTACAATCAAGCCAAGTTTATTCAACCTGCCTTCATAGTTTAAACCTCAGATCGATCTGCATCATGCTGAATTCCAGAGGCAGAAGAACAACTGCATCAACAACCCAGTTTTCCAAACTTGGTGGGAAAAATTCTGACCAACTCCTACAGGCTGAGCATTTTGCCTATGAATTAGAAACTGCATCTTTATTCTCATATACCCTCACAGAACTGCCCCTGGAATGGGTCGTTCCTCCGCTTGTTGTAACTAATGCAGTATTAATTAATGTTACTAATCATTTTGAAATGAGGTACATCAATTCATTCCAACTCACCTTCTTGCTCTGAAGCTTATTTCTCTGCCTGTTGCAGCATTCCAGTGAAACAAAAGTAGTCTAACAGCCCTCATTTTCTGCTTAGATACTTTATAACTTAAGTTCAACAACACCGAGTTAAACAACTTCAAACTCGGTCTTCCATTTTGATTGAACTCCACTCCTCATCTTGTTTGCATGGATTTGTTGTTACCAGAGCTGGCCTTTTTTTTTTAAAGCTATCGACACCTATTTCAACCAAGCAGCAAACTCAATTATCTCTATGGCATAATCTATCTAGCACCAGAAAACGCAAGTGAAGTGAACTTTCCATACCGATCAGAAACTACTCAGGCTGCTTTAAGAAAAAGCAAAATTACAGTATACTGTCACTTATACATGGACTGGCAGCATACTGAAGTATACACTATGAATGGAGAAATGAGAAACAGATTATAAACTTGGAAAACTACATTCAACTTGAGAGAGACAGAGAGAGTGTCACGAACCACAACATAAATTATGACATTTCCTTTTCAAACTGTTTACAATAACTTGTTTAAAAATTAAGAATTATATGATGCTTTACACAAATATGAGAACAGAAGTTGACCTTTAGCCCTTTCTGCTAGTGGATAATTAGCAACTTACCTCCACATTCCCACCTTTGTTCAAAATTGATTTGGTCAACAAAAGTATGATCACAGATTTCAATCAAGGTCAATTGCCACTTATGGATGAGTTCCAAACTTCTACTGTGAATCCTTACGACATTGACGATGACTGGTCAGCCTACTGAATCCACACTGGATTACTCTATACAGTAGAGTACTCTATAGAGTAATCCAGTCAGTCCTATTCCTCCACTCTAGTTCCATATGCCAACAAGTTTATTTTCCTCAAGTTTCTAATCAATTTCCTTTTGAAATCATTTATGTCTTCACTTTCACCACCATTGTAGGCAACAAGCTCTAGGTCACTATCATTCACTGCATTAATAATGTTTCTTCACATTCCCCTGCATCCTTTGGGCAAAACCTTACCCTTATCCCTGCTGCTTGCAATCAAAAAATGTGAACAGCTTTTCTCTGTCTAACTTATTTAAACCGGCCACAAGCTTTACACAATAATAATTTCCCTTTAACCCAAGATGAAAATTGGAATTGTTATCACCTTAAGCTTGTAGCTAAAATTCACATTCTTGGAATCTTTCCAGTAAGTCTCCTCTCTATCCTCAAGGACTTTCACGGTTTTTTTCCAAGGTCCAATACTCCATTTGTGGTTTGACCAGGGATTTCTCTCAGACACAATCTCTCTCTGTACACTGTACCTGTTCCTGTTCCTAATATCTTAGAAAGCTTTGAAAGGCCAAGAAGGAACTATATTGTTGTGTTTTATTATGTCTTTCTCCTCATTTAATTGCCTTATATATTTTAACTTCTCTTTACTTGTGATGCCTAATGCACAGTTGTTTCTCTGTTCTCTTTCCTAATTTTTTTCCTAACCATTGCGTAAAATTCTGTTTCTGTTTTACAGCAGGGGCGGCATCATGGTTCAGTGGTTAGCACTGCTGTCTCACAGCGCCAGGGACTCAGGTTCAATTCTACCCTCGAGTGACTGTGTGTGGAGACTACACATTCTCCCAGTGTCTGGGTGGGTTTCCTCCATGTGCTCCGGTTTCCTCCCACAGTCCAAGGATAGGTGGAGGGTTGGGTAGGTGGATTGGCCATGCTAAACTGCCCATAGTGTTCAGGAACGTGTAGATTAGGTGGGTTATGAGGAATGGGTCTGGGTGGATGCTCTGAGGGGCAGGATGGACTTGTTGAGCCAAAGGGCTGGTTTCCGCACTACAGGGATTCTAAGATGATCTAAGAAGATGATTACCTAATCCACCTTTTCCAACCAAGTCCTCCACTGCTCGCTCATTCTTTCTGCCAGGACAACAGCACCAACCTGGTTCAAATGGAGTTGATCCCAGGTTTTCATAGAATCCCTACAGTGTGGAAACAGGCCCTTCGGCCCAACAAGTCCATACCGACCCTCAAAGCATCCCACCCAGACCCAACTCCCTATAACCCACCTAACCAACACATCCCTGAATACTACGGGCAATTTAACATGGCACATCTTTGGACTGTGGGAGGAAACCAAAGCATCCAGAGGAAACCCACACAGACATGGGGAGAATGTGCAAACTCCACACAGACAGTCGCCAGAGGGTGGAATCGAACCCTGGTCCCTGGCGCTGTGAGGCAGCAGTGCTAACCACTGAGCCACCACGCCGCCTCAATATTAATGCTGGTATTTTATCTAATAGAACTCCTCTTTCCCACATACAGCCAGGAATAAAATGCATCCCTCCCACCACGTCCTTTGCAAAATAACTTGTGACAATTCTCTAGGTCGAAAGATGTCAAAACTCTTTTGACTTTTTACACCATACCAATGAAATTTACCACCCTTTAAAATATTAATTATTCTATCTACTGATATCAACTTCTATCTCAGGGGAATAATGCAGTTAAACCATGACAAACATTTCTCCTATGTAGTACTCCACGGAACAAAAACAGTTTTGATAATGGAGTCAACTATTGCTCAGTGACAGAATTCTTGCCAAGTGAAAATATTCCACAGCACTCTTCTGAGAAAACAGGGACTTTTCTATGGTGCCCCAGCCAATAATGATCATAAAACCAACACTACAATCAACAGATGATCTGATTATTGTCACACTGCTGCTTCTGAGAACTTGCTGCTTTCAAGTTAGCTGCTGTATTTCCATCAGTAATGGTACGTAAAACAAAGATTTTTTTTGAAAAGTGCTATTTAAATTAAAGGATTTTTTAAATGTTGTTTCATAGTTAGCAAGTAACAGAATATCTAGAGCTTTGTCTTTTTATTACCTTGTCTTTCATTTTTGCCTTTCTTGGCAAAGTAGCTGTAGATTCCACTTCTGCGAGTACGTTTTCTGAAATCTGTTCTGCTGCTTTCCCATCAGGAGGTTCCTCTAAGACAGGCTCTAAGGGTCTAGTGGAGGGCACAGGAGAAAGACTTGCAGTGTCAGTAACTGTACCAGAACGAACACTGTCCATTCTGCTACTTCCAGTACTGGCATTATCATCTTCCTCCTCTTCTTCATCACTGGACAGCACAACTGGGCAAAAATTACAAAATTAGTGCACAGAAGCAGACCTAGCAACATTTCCCTTGTTTTAACAAGGAAAATTTCACTCATACATTGCAATACCACAAAACAGCTGCAACGTGTAAAAAACAGTTTGAAAGAAATTTTGTAAATATAATTCCATGCATCTTATGCTGTTAAAGATGATACAAATTTTTGCTTGGGATACGTTTTTGGTCACAGAACAAAAGAGACAAATGCAGCAGGGCAAAAACGGATGTGACACCAATTTAGTCAGGTCACGGATGAGCCGGGACCAAATCACCTTTGCCTATATCCCTTAATACCTTAAGTTAACAAAAGTCCATCAATCTCTGTTTTAAATTTAACAACTGACTGAACAACAATTTGTGGAAAATTCAAAGCTTGTTTTGTGGTGTAAAAATGTTTTGTAATTTTACCCTGAAAGGCTCAATCTTTATGCTATACTTTCAAGTCCTACACTTAGCAATCAGCAGAAATGGTTTCTCACCATCTTTTCTATCCAATTCCTTAATGCCTCGAAAGGTTCCATCGAATCATCCTTTAATGTTCTAAATTGTAGGGAATACAACTCATCTTTGCATAATTTTATTTTATCATTAATGGGAGCTGGGCCTCATTGTCTATGCTGGCTGTAATTTGCCATCTGTAATTGTCCTCAAGAAGATGGTGGTAAGTTGCCTTTTTGAACTGCTGTAGTCCATTTGATAACAGCTAGACTAGCAGTATTGTTAGGGAGGGAACTCCAGGATTTTGACCCAGGGACACTGAAGGTATGTAGATATAGCTCCAAGTCGGGATGGCAAGAGACTTGGTAAGGAACTTGCAGGTGGTAAGGTTCCAATGTGTCTGCTGCACTTGCCCTTCTAGATGGATGTACTCGTGAGCTTGGAAGATACTGAACAAGGAGCTTTGCTCAATTTCTATAGTGTATCTTGTAGATAGTAGACACCACTTATACGGAGCATAATTGGTGGTGGTAGAGAATGCTTTTTGATGTGGTGCCAACCAAACAAGTTGCTTTGTCCTGGATGGTGACAACGTTCTTGAATGTTGCACTCAGACAAGTGGGCAGTACTCCATCACACTCCTGACTTGTATCTTGTAGTTAGTGGACAGGCTTTGGAGAGGCAGGTGCTGAGTTACTCATTGCAGTAAGCCTAGCCTCTGACCTGCTTCCATACCCACAGTATTTATATGGCTAGTCCAGTTCAGTTTCTGGTCAATGGAAACCCCCATGATGTTGGTATAGGGATTCAACAATGCTTATGTCAAGGAGCAATGGTTAGATTTTCTCTTGTTAGAGATGGTCATTATTTAGCATTTGTTTAGTGCAAATGTCATTTGCCACTTGTCATCCCAAACCTAGATATTATCCAGGTCTTGCTGCATTTGGACATGGACTACTTCAGTTTCTGAGCAGACATGGAATGGTGACGAACACTGTGCACTCAACGAACATGCCCCTTCAGATGTCATAATGAAGAAAACTCCGTGATGAAGCAGCTGATGACTGAGCTTGGGACACTACCTGAGGGACGTTCGCAGAGATTCCCTGGAGCAAAGACCTCCATCACAACTATCTTCTGTTGTGCCAGCAGCACATTTGCTCTGATCCATATCCACTCCAGTTTTGCTCCAGATCCTTAAATGCCACAATAAGTTAACAGAGCAATCAAGCAGCACCTGCTCCCAGGGCAACTCACATTTGACTGTATATCACCAGACTGCCACCCCTGTTGGGCATGTGAGATAGGACACATCCAGTTATGGTGATGCTGCTGTCTGAGACATTGCATGCAATGTATGCTTCCATGACCAAGATTTTGTCAGGTTGATGCTTGACCAGTCTGTAAGACAGCTCTCCCAATTTCGGCATTGTTGGTAAGGAGAACGTTGCAGGGTCAGCAAAGCTGGGTTTGCTGTTGTCGTTTTTGGTACCCATGTAATCTGCTGGGTTTAATTTCTTTTGAGACATTCTACCAGTTTATAAAGCTGAATTGCTTGTTTGGCCACTTCAGAGGGCAGTTATGATTCAACTACATCCGAAGTGGATAATCTTGCCTTTGTCTAAATTGAAGTAAACTAGTCACAGATTTGATCATTCACTATCGTTACTATAATGGTTAAATACAGCCTACTGATTTTCAAATTTCATCATCTGCGTTTTGGGATTTTCATGGACAGAAAAAGAAAAAAAAGTTTCCAGGGGAAAACAAAAACGGATTTAAAAATGGCTGCAGTAGCCACCTGACCATAGCTTCCTGAAACTTGACTCAATCTATCAAAGAACAGTATGAACTCTTCTGAAAATTTTTATCAAGAGATTGAAACCAGTCAAAACAAGAAGAGACCAGTTTCATCCATTTGAGTTAGACCTTTATGAGTTGACATGTTGCACAAGGGAAGTGATAGCCTAGTGGTATTATCGCTAGACTGTTAATCCAGACACCCGGATAACATTCTGGGGACATGGGCTCGAATTCCACCACGGCAGAAAAACCTATCTGGTTCACTAACGTCTTTTAGGGAAGAAAACTGCCATCCTTACCTTCGCTTTGCAGAACATCTACGTTCTGCTCGCAAAAAAGACCCTGAACTACCTGTTGCCTGCCACTTTAACGCACCACCCTGCTCCCTGGCCAACATCTGTCTCTGGCTTGCTGCAGTGTTCCAGCGAAGCCCAATGCAAGCTGGAGGAGCAACACCTCATATTCCGCTTGGGGACCTGACAGCCCTCCAGACTCAATAAAGTTCAACAATTTCAGGGCCTAAACACTTCCAAGTCCCAGCCCTCTACCCCACATACCAGGCCTTGCTACCACAAAACCTGCCATTACACACCCCCTGTTGTTAGTCACAAACAGTCCCCATTAACTATTTACCCTCCCAGCCTGATCGTTAGCAAATCCTTTGTCTGTCCAACTGTCTCTCTCTCTCTCTTTGGGCTCTATCTTATCATTTACTCCCTACCCCATCCCCCTTCCCTTTTTTTCTGCAATATAAACTGACATTTTCCCAGCCACCATCAGTTCTGAGGAAGGGTCACCGGTCCCGAAACATTAACTCTTTTCTCCTTCACAGATGCTGCTGGACCTGCTGAGATTTTCCAGCAACTTTGTTTTTGTGCCATCCTTACCTGGTCTGGCCTACATGTGACTCTAGACCCACAGCAATGTGGTTGACTCTGGGCAATTAGGGATGGGCAATAATGCTGCCTAGCCAACGACGCTCTCATTCCGCGAATGAATAAAGAAAAAATATTTTTTAAAAATGCCTGCAATTGTCAAGCTTGGAGACAATTAACCCGCACATGGGAATAAATGAATGAGCTCGATTTCAAGCAATTGCTTTGGCAGAGCAGAGGAGATGGATTTGTGACTGGAAATGGAGATGATCTTTTTGGTTTCTGCTTTCTCAGGAAGGACGAAGCATATATCTGAACTCCGAAGATGTGTGCAATATTTGTGGTGGCAATTTTTCCAAGACCACTGCCCACCTCACCCCAAAATCAACTGTAGTCTCCAATTTAAGCTTAACACACCAAGAACATCACTGGACCCGAAACGTTAACTCTTTTTTCCTTCACATTATTTTAATTTTTGGACTAGACATTATCCCCTTTTGATATTGTACCTGTCTTTGTTGTGCATTTCTGATGTTGTGTCTATTATTCTTTTCCTAGTGTAAATAAAAAAATTGCCCTTTCCTTCACTCAAAAAAACCCAAAGATGGCTCCTTGTTGCTTCTGCTGAACTAGATGTCTACAATTTTTATTGGAATCAGATAGAGCTGCATACTAAAAAGATTTTAAAACATTTTGTTGTGGCCAACTGAGAAGGGTGAGAAATAAGGCTAATTCCTCCATTTTTCACCTGGGTGAGACACTAATCAATTATTTTGTATTCTTCTGATTAACTGCTTACAATATCACCCATCTTTGGGTGACAAGCAAATTTTGTAATGTAGCTTTCCATCCCATCATCGAACTCCGTAATAAATACAGTGAGCAACTGAGAACTGAAATGTGGCACACCAGTCACTTGTGGTAATCTTCAAATTTCATGAGTTTCAAATTCAGATAATGGTCCCTTATTAGGGTCTTCAAACATCTTCTGAAAGCATACTTAATGATATTATCCTGTTCACTGCTCTAGTCACCTCATCAAAAAACCCAAATCAGATTTGTCAAGCCTGATCTACTTTTGAAAATGGAGATACTCTGGGCATCACTGCTAGGACTCCTGCCCTGCAGATGCCCTAGACCTTGGTGTATAAAAGTGTAATTAAAAATATTTGGTTTCTACAAAGCTTGGAAGTATTGTTAACCTTGAAGAGAATTGCATAGCTTCAAAAAATTTCACAGGTTGGTCAAGTCCTAAAACAAAAAAATCAGGCAAATGTGCCTTAATGACTACCATTCAGTGGCTCTAACATCCATCATCATGAAATGCTTCAAGAGGTTAGTAATGGCACATATCGACTTCAGAATGCCTTGATCCACTACAATTTGCTTACCATCACGATAGGTCCGTGGCAGACGACAACTCCCTGGCCCTACACTCATCCTAGGAACATGTGGATGACAAGGACACACGTCAGACTCCTATTTACTGACTTTAGTTCCGCCTTCAACACCATAATTCCAACAAAACTCACCTTGAAACTCTGAAGCTTAGGACTTGGCTTCCCCACCCCGCAACTGGATCCTCAACTTCCTGACCCACAAACCACAAGCGGTAAGGAAAAGCAAGAGCACCTCCTTCGCAATAATTCTCAACACTGGTGCCCTGCAGGGCTGCATACTCAGGCCCTTCCTAGATGCCTATCCACTCATGACTACGGCCAAATTCAGCTCTAACTCCATTTACAAATTTGCTGATGACACCATTGTAGTGGATTGGATCTCAAACAATGACAAGGCAAAATACTGGAAACAGATAGACAACTTAGTAGCACGGTGTAAAGAAAATAATTTCTCCTCAATG